CAACTCCGACTCGCTAGTGAAAGTGGATGGCATGGCCTGTGGAAAAAACCAAATTCTCCTGCACAATCATGGGGGGTTGTCAACTTTGACCTATAGGGGTACTTGCAAGGCAGACTGGATTGCGCTAGGTTTGTCTCAACAATGCGAACGAAAGAAACACTTCTGCCTCGCAAACCACAAACAACTTCCAAAAAACTCCAAGAACGAACCAGCAATGCTGTCACATGCACATGAAACACTCATTTCTCTGGAAGAATTCATCGTCTCACAATCTTTTTGGGGCGTTGTGGGCTGGTTTTGCTCGATCCTCTCCTGGAGCGTTCTATGGATTCCAAATGCGTTCCCTATGGATTTGGTCAGTTCCCCAAACCCCAGATGTCCTGGAAAAAACATAGAAAAACACACTCATCCCCAGTTGAACGTCCGAATCTTCCACCGAGAAATCTCTGCCACGTTGCTGGTTGCCGCACATCGCCTCAAAACAAAAAACGAAGGTTCCAACGATTCAGCAGGAGAGTGGTGAAACCTTGTTGACCTTCCATGTAGGGGGGGCTATTAATCCGGCGTTCACATCAAGAAACTTTCCTCCAAGCACCATTGCTGTGTCCAAGTGAAACGAACAACTCAACTTAGCTCAAATTAAAATGCTTCACGATTTTCCTGCAATGCTTCCGTGTCCGAGAAATTATTCTTGGATCAGTGGACTGAACTTGTGCCACAAAACTAAGAAGAATGATCTTCGCTCCAATGCTGCCATGAGGGAGCAACAACCTACAGCTCCTGACAGGAGGTGACCCACCATCAGTTCCACCATCCATTCCTGGAAAATTTGATCTCCATCAGCTGAACATGTTCAGAACAACAAACGTGAACAACCGTGGCGATCTCGCCCAGGTGCTGCGCCGCAGTGGGTGCAGCCCCAGTCCCAGCGACTGGGATAGTTGCTATTATCCAACACCTGGCGCGCAATCGGCGCTCGGCTCGTGGCCCGCCACTCGCGAGAAGCGTGCGGGTGTGTGTGTGTGTGTGTGTCCACACCTGTGCCTAAGGTTTTGAGTCACAAAGGACGCTACTAGGGGCCCCTGGTTTCGCTACTAAGGGCTCCTGGTATCACTATTAGCGTGCAGTTTGTCAATTTTTCAACACGTTCACAAAAACAGCGCAAAAAGAGGC